CACTCGCTACACTTCACAGGAAAACCTTTTTTCCCTTTTCTTTTCTTTTCTCCTCTATTCCTCTTTTTACCTCCCCCTTTCTTTCTCACTGACTGACTGCAAGATCAGAGTGATCAGCAGCAGCAGTTGCAGCTGTAGCAGCACTTAGCAGCACACTGGTGCTGATTGCCGCCTTTTTAACAACTCAGAAACAAACAGAGACAAAAAGATACAGAAAGAAAGAGCAAAAACATCAGTCGCGACGCCTTCCGCTGCACCGCTGCATTATCTCCAAATACCCTTGCACTGTCTGTCTGTTTCAGACGTTGGCAAGGATTAATAACTGGATACTACTTAGTTGTTGGTTCTGTTTTACTTTCGGTTGACCAATTTTACCAAACAAGCACACTTTTTTGACAATTTTGTAGCATTCTGGCAATTAGGGAAAGGTGCACTTGAATAGTTTAATTGCTCATTGTACTAGTAGTACTTTTTTATTTAGAAGCAAACACACGGTGCATTTAGTTTGCAAACTAATTAGAATTTTTAAATGTCAAAGTAGTCTGCACATTTTAACGGAAATAAGCTGCATGAGCAGTTATTTTTAAGCTGCATTGATCACTGTCATGTTTTCTATATAAAGTCTTTAAACTTTTCAAAACTAACAGTTTGCCTTCACTTCTTTAGGCTGTACATCTACCCCAAAAATCACAAGTTTTCACTATCACCACTATTCCCAGTATTCTCACAATTCTCACTGCTGTCTTACCATTGATTAGCCAAAAACTTATCAAACCAGACAATCGCCAGGCAATCAATCAGTTCCCCTTTCACCCTGTCAGCCGAGGGGCACAGTGAAGTCAGAAATGAGTTGAACTGCCTCTGCCGCCGCTGACCGCATTGATTGACTGCACTGACGCACACCGCAATGACACACCATCACTACTGCTACTCACTAACTGACACCTAGCCAGCACAAAAAGGCCACAACTGGGCCGACCATTCAGAGCCATGGAGGGCTCACTGAACCACCACCTCCTTCGACCTTGTTACCTTCCTACCACCACCACCACCACCACCAAAACAATCACCATTACCACCCCGACCATGTTACTTCGGATACTCTCCCCTACCAGTCAAAAGCACCTTAAAAAAATGAAACACATCAGTATTACTACGGCCATTCTCCTCTTGTTTGGCCTTTGCCTTCTTCTCAACCTACCAGCTGGCGTCCACTTAAAGAAGGTGGGCGTTGCTGCCCACCAATCCTTTGACATCACCAAAACGAACGTCAAGCTGCTGATACCGGGCAAGTCCGGCAGCCTGATTCACCTCGCCTCCATGACTTACAGCGACTCACTGCCCAATGTGACCTTTGCCACCTTCGCCTTCACCGGACCGGGGCACACCGACCTGCTGACGCAGACGCTGGCGCAGGTCAATGGCAGCACCAAGGTGTTCATCGGGGCGCGAAACTACGTACATCGACTCTTTGCTCAGGAGGATGATAATGACTCCAACGGCGGCAAACGTCGGCTAGTTTTGGAGGAAAGCAGCACCCGAATAGCCTTCCGCAACCAGTCCGCCTGTCCGACGGTGTACGCCGACCAGGTGGGCCTCTCTCCGAAGCCGGTGGACAATGACATGAAGGTACTTTTCGCCTACCCCGGCCATGCCCTCTTCGCCTGCGGCACGGACAACTGCGGCCGTTGTGAGACCTTCAAGCTGCACGACTTCACCGCCCGGCGACCTTTCTTCAACGCCAAGGTGGACAATGTGGCCGATTTTATCGGCGGCCGCAAGTCGGCTTTCGTCTTTGAGGGCCACTACAAGACGGCCAACGCCTACTACGTGGCCGTAGAGCCAGACGGCCGGCGACAGGACCAGACGCCGCCCTTCTTCTCGGCGAGAGCCATTAAGAAAAACGGTAAACTTTTAGCTTAATTTTGCTTTCAAAACTAAAACTAAAATCTCTCTTTTTTTCCACAGAAATCATCTACACCTCCTCCNGCGACAGGACCAGACGCCGCCCTTCTTCTCTGCGAGAGCCATTAAGAAAAACGGTAAACTTTTTAGCCTAATTTTGCTTTCAAAACTAAAACTAAAACCTCTCTTTTTTCCACAGAAATCATCTACACCTCCTCAATGTCCTTCTACTCGAGCCGCATCAGCCTGCACCAGCAGTTCAGCTCCACCCACCCGATGCGCATGCTGTACGGCTTTGAGCACCACAACTACGCCTACCTGCTGACCGTCCAGCCGGACAGCCTGCACAATGACACCGCCCTCCTCGAGACTCGGCTGGCGCGCATCTGCACCAACGACCACTACTTCAACTCCTACATGGAGATTCCCCTCGTCTGTCGGGTGGGCGACTCGGGGACAGGCACCACCACCACCATCCACCGAGAGGCACTGGCCGCCGCCCTCTCCCACGACGCCACGGAGCACTTTGGAAAGCGGCTGCTGTACGGCGAGCCGGCGCAGGGCAGTGCTGCCGCCTCGCTGTACGTCAGCTTCAAGAATGATGGCGGAAAAACTTTGCAGCCAGAGAGCAGTCCGCTGTGCCGCTTCGACATGGCCGCCATTGAGGAGGCTTTCCGCAGCACCGCCGTCCGCTGCAACACCAACGGCGACGACGTGGAGCTGCTGGCGACGCTGCACGGCACCGGTGCCGGCAGTCTGAACATGTGCACTCGTGTCGAGCGGTACAACGATTCGGACATCTCCTGCGGCAGCGTCCTCGATAATGGCTTCATTCTGGGGCGTACGCCGCCGCCCAGTACGCACATCTTTACGCTCATAAACGGTAACATTTGTTGCTTCACTTTGATAACCAGTTTTTAAAAATGTTAACTTTTTTTCTTAAATGTCTCCTCTCAACAGATGTCATCACCTCCATCGGAGCGGCCACCTTCACCGTGAAGAACCGCCGAAAGCGGGCCAGCAGTGGCGGTCAAGTGGTGGATACGCTGCTGCTGGGCACGCAAAAGGGCCGCCTGATGAAGGTCGGCCTGCGGGACTTTGAGTACAAGATGACCAAGTTCTTTTCGCAGCGAGACGCCAACCTGGGCCCGTTCATGCCCAATCCCTCCTTTGACGCCCAGACGGGCAACTTTTACTTTCTCACCAAGCGCTCAGTGACCGAAGTGCCCGTCGTCCGCTGTCAAGTGTACTCCACCTGCAGCGCCTGCTTCCGCTCTAAGGATGAGGAATGTTTCTGGAACAAGGGACAATGTATGTTTCGAGAGGAGGTGAAGTTGCAAGACCGCCACGTTCAGTGTCCGCCGGAGGTGTTCAACTTTCAGCCGAGGGAAGGGCCGAAGGAGGGCGGTACTGTCGTCTCCTTCTACGGCTTCAACTTTGGCATCGGCGAGGTGCTGCAGAACAACAAGGACACCAACTTCTTCAAGGTGACCATTGGCAGCAAAGTCTGCTCGCTGCTTGAGCGCACCAACACCTTTTTCACCTGTCGAATTGAGGACCGCGGCGATGCTAAGGACAGTGAGGGTAAGTGTGGCTAATGTGCTAGTGAACAAGAAAACAGCTGTTTATTGATGTACTTTTTTGTTGGGGTAAACCAAACAGGAGCCATCACCATTTTTGCCAGCGACACTAATGCCTCCAACTACCACACGCTAATGTACAACATCTACGGGAAAATTACACTGGAGAACAAGTTTGCCTTCAAGACCGCCTCGCTGGTGGGCGTTCACCCCAACTATGGACCGTATGCGGGCGCCACCCGCCTCACCATTGCCGGCACTGATCTGGGCATTGGCAGCAATGTCTCCGTGAAGATTGGCAACAGCTACTGTCCAGTGGTAAGCCTTTTCAGTTGTGCTCTTTATAAACGAAAAAAACAGTTTTTAACGCACAGTTTCACTTTTTTGTCAGGTGGTACGTTCTCGCTCGTACGTAATCTGCGAGACGCCTTCACTGGAGCAGACCGGCGTCAATGTGACCCAATCGAAGCAGATTGAAGTTTCCATCGACAACCACAACATGATCATCAACGGCGACCGAACCATTCCCCTATACGGCAGTACCCTTTTCCACGGCGACGATGCCTCCTCCTCCTCCTCTTCGCATCCCCAAATGTACAAACCAAAGCGAAAGCGGACCTCTTACCGAGATCTCGACCATCCCTTCAGCAACATCAGCACCTTCATCGAACTGCAGGCAGGCCAGCTGGGACCGCTTCTCTTCGGGGAGTCCTTCCAGTACCGACCCAATCCGCTGGTGACCGGCATCAGCGACCGGCCGGAAGAGGAGCGGAACACCAAAACGTACGACAACTTCTACACAGCGGCCAGCGGCCGGACGGTGCTCACCTTCGACGGCGACCACCTCAACTCGGTGCACTACCCCATGCTCAGTCTGTACTTTGAGGGTAGCCGTTCAGGAGGCGGTGGTGGTGGCCACCCGAACAGTGACGGCAACTCCAAAGGTGTTCAGCCGCAGCAAAACGCCACCAGCGTCCCCTGTTCGGTGGTGTCCGCCCGGCGAATCACCTGCCTCCTGCCGCCCCTGCCCCGCGAACTGATGCCCATCGAGGTGGACCGTCCCGTCAGCGCCAGCTACGTCCTCCACCTGGACGGCCAACAGCTGGACAGTGACCACCTGCCCAAGGTGGCCCCCGCCCAGCAGGTGCTGAAGGGCACGCGCATTCTCTACTACCCCGACCCGCAGTTCACCGCCATTGACGACCCGCTGATCGTCTCCACGAGCAGCCTCCTCATTGAGCTGGAGGGCAAGTACCTCATCCACGACCTTCCCTATCAGATCTTCCTCAATGACTCCGCCACGAAGTGCATTGTCACGCCAGAGNCTACCCCGACCCGCAGTTCACCGCCATTGACGACCCGCTGATCGTCTCCACGAGCAGCCTCCTCATTGAGCTGGAGGGCAAGTACCTCATCCACGACCTCCCCTATCAGATCTTCCTCAATGACTCCGCCACAAAGTGCATCGTCACCCCGGAGGCCACCTCGCCCAGTCTTCTCAAATGCAAGCTCAACATGGAACAGGAGATGGTCGACTACCTGTACGGCCAGGAAATGGAGCTAACCGTGGCCATTGGTGACCGAGTGGAAAGGTTTGTCTATCTCTCTAAAAACAGTTGATACTAACTTTTGATAACTTTACTTGTCCTTTTCCTTAGCATTGGAATTGTCAAGCTGCAAAATGACGCTTCGCTCTCTACTGTGGGACTGGTTTTTGTCATTTTGGCCTCTCTGCTAATCGTCGTTGTCATCTGTGCTTTTGTCTACTACAAAACGCAGCAAATTAACTCCTCAAATTCAAAGGATAACTACAATTGGACCGAGCTTGTTCTCAAGTCAAAGACTTTGAGTAAGTAACTGTTTTGGTTTGTATAACATGTGTGATTATAATCACCTTTTTTTGCAGAGGATTTCTTCAATGAAGCCTACACAAACTTGGATTACTACACACAACTGGAGGACATGGGCAAAATTATCGACCCAAAAGATGTTCAGAAGTCGGACACCGTGCTCGGTGTTGGCAACTTTGGCATAGTCACCCGTGGCAAGTTCAGAAATGAGTGTGTAGCTATCAAAACGCTGAAACGAAAAAGCAGTGCCGTGCCCACATTAGATCCAGAGAGTAAGTAGGCTTTAAATAGTTTAAATCCGGTTATGAAAAACAACTTTTTTATCTCTTTTTAAAGTGGCTCCTGAAACTCCCGACGCCGACCCAACCGCTTACCAGGACAAGATACTGGCGGGTTTCTTTGACGAGGCAATCACCATGAAGGACTTCAATCACGTCAATGTTCTTTCGCTGGTCGGTGTCACTCTGGTCGACAATTATCCCTCCATTCTGCTGCCATTCATGACTTACGGTGATCTGGCCACTTACGTGCGAAACAGCATGCACAGTCCCAGTGTACGCGATCTGCTTGACTATGCAATTCAAGTGGCACGAGGTATTTATACTTTTTCTAACATTCACAAACATTGCAAATTCATCCTTTTTGCAACTTTCTTTTTAGGAATGACCTACTTGGCAAGCAAAAACTTTGTTCACCGTGATTTGGCAGCCCGCAACTGCCTGATCGGCCAATTTAACGGCGAAGCGGTGGTCAAGGTGGCCGACTTTGGGCTGAGCCGCAAGTTCGAAGACAAGGAGTACTACCGCATCAACGGCAACAAGGAGCTGCCCTATCGGTGGATGCCCCCTGAGTCGCTCAACGGCCTCAACATTGTCACCTCAAAGAGTGACGTCTGGTCGTACGGGGTGCTGGTCTGGGAGCTGACCACCCGAGGGCAGATCCCCTACGGTCAGCTGGACTTTTCCGGCGTGCTGGAGCTGCTGAAGAACGGCCAGCGGCTGACCCGTCCCGAGTTTTGCCCGGACATCATCTTCTCCATCATGTCCCTCTGCTGGCTGGCCGACGTCAATGAGCGGCCGGAGTTCAAGGACGTACTGGCCTGCATGGAGGAGGCCTTCCGCATGTTGCACCTGCAGGAGAGCAACACCTACGTGAACCTCTCGGAGCCGGTGCCCACCAACCCGGTGAACAACACAGTGTCGTCCGTCAACCAGTTCGACTACCGCCGACCGGACATTCAGCAGCAGGTGCAGCAGTACTTCGACAAGTCGCGCTCCTTCCTTCAGTTCCTCACCAACCAAAATCCGGAGCTGTACGAGGACATGGAGCTGGACATGGGCGACAGTGGGTCAGCGCAGTACCCCACCTACGCGCCGCCCTCCTACTCGGCGGCCACGGCGATGCCCTCGGAGAGTATCGTCATGACCAGTGCTCCCACGACGAGTGCTAGCTCCGCCAACGGCTATCTAGGCCCTCATGAGACGCACTTTCTGCCGAAGAGCAGCGGAAGCGGCGTCATCTCTAGTCCAAGCACCGCCCCTAAAGCCGCCGTTAATGGATTGATGAACGGCGACTACCTGCACTTCTCCGATGCGTCCACTTTGCCTCGTTAGCACATAGTGTGTTGCCTGTCTAATATGTTCTCCATATTGCACGAACAATCCACCGCAATTATAGTCACCCCCACCACCACCATCACCCCCACCACCATCACCCTTGTACAATCGAGAACATCCCCAAATCACTGCATATACCCCACCACATTGCCACATTGCCACGCACACACATAGGATACTCGATCTCATATCAGCACACACACCGTTGATCACCACAGTCATTCACCACCCTTGCATTTTTCGGCGTGCACCCCCTTTTATATTTTGATTGTTCCGACACACCAAATTTTCAACTTGAGTTATTTTTTGAAAGTGACCACTTTTCACCTCCGTCCCCTTCTATTTTTTTTGTGTACAATCTCACTACCGGCGCACTTTAAAAATAGCAAAAAGTGGCTCACTCTGTAATACACACACCGTTAATTCTTGTTCTTGTTTTTGTCCTTGTAAGCACCAAACTTTTCAATTGTGATCTATTGAACTTTTTCCTTATTTTATCCTACCATTTTGTAATTTTAAAAAAATCAATCATGTGCCAATATCAAGATAAGAAGATATTTCAAGTTCTTTTAATTATATAACATTTTATTTATTGTGTTCACACATGCTTTTTCTAATGGCAACTGCTTTTTTCAACAGCCTCTACTGTTATATGACCTCAAATGTATTTTTCGCTTTCCATAAATACAATATTTTTGCTTTTAAAATTGCGTTCTTGTTTAAATTTCATAGTTTCTGAATTGCTTCAAAAGAGAAGTTTCCTTTTCACTTGACCAGTGTTGGTCGCCAGTGGTAAACTGTGTTTCAGTTGGACTGGAAATTGGTTGGCTGTTCCAGTTGCCATTGCTGTTAGATGAAGTGGCATTGGTGTCTGTTTCACTGATGTCCACTTGGTTAGGCATGCAAAGTGCTGGTTTGCACGGGCGACCACCCGCACTGCCGAACCAGTGAATGGAGTTGTGCAGTCCTCCGGACTCGTTCAGTTGGCACCACTTTCGGTAGCTGATGTGCAGTCCCGACTGACGCCAACGATCGTAATCACGACGACGCTTTTCATCACCGAGAATCTCCTTGGCCCGCTGCAGCTTGCAGAACTTGCTGTCAATGGCGCACTTCTTCTCCGCCGACTCGGCCGAGGATGTGCAGCTGGTTGTGCCGCACTTGTCCGGATGCAGCTCACGAACTCGAACGCGGTACTCGGCGTTGATTTGGTCAGTCTTTTGTTGGGAAAAAAGAGTTGGGCAGTCAATGCAAAAGTNGCCGCACTTGTCCGGATGCAGCTCACGAACTCGAACGCGGTACTCGGCGTTGATTTGGTCAGTCTTTTGTTGAAAAAAAAAGTTGGGCAGTCAATGCAAAAGCTTTTGTTTCAGTTTCAGTTAAAGGTCATTTAGTTCACTTACTGTAGCTTCTGGGTGGCAGCCGAGAATGGCGTAAAGGTCGTCGTCACCAACGGCATCATTGTCAGTTTGTTTTTCTCCCTCACAGGCTGCCGTTTTATCAGGTTTTTTGTAGGAAAATATATCGTCCATGTAGTTTAAATTCATATTGTAAGATAATTTTTGAGAACAATTAAACAAGTTTTTCAAAATGTGTTGATCAAAACAGTATATTTTTAAGATCAAAAGTTGTCAAAAACAGGATGCGGCATAAGAAGCTTTTGTGTAGTTGCTCAACTGTTTAAACGCTGCTTTGAATGAAGTACTCTCACAAAAAAAATTGGCAATATATTGGCAAAAATTCAATTTAGATCAAACAGGCAAACGGTGAGCGAGAAGCATCCAAGTAGAGCATTTTATTGCAATATAGTTTTTGGCATCGATCTTTAGACGCTTCTTTACTTCTACACAATAGAAGGGTGAAAAGAGCAAAAGGTCATAATTAAAAGTGATGTGATTTTTACTAACAAATTCAATGAAAAAACTGTTTTGTTTTTCATCTTGTTTATGCGTATCAATTCTAGAGAGTCGCCTGATAGTAAACTGGAAAACACTCTGCCTCAGGGTAAAAACGGCATATGGAAAAAGCTGTTGCAAATAAGAAAACTAGTTGTTCAAGGACAATTATTGAAGTAAAANGTAGCTTCTGGGTGGCAGCCGAGAATGGCGTAAAGGTCGTCGTCACCAACTGTGTCATTGTCCGTTTGTTTTTCTCCCTTACAGTTTGCCGTTTTATCAGGTTTTTTGTAGGAAAATATATCGTCCATATAGTTTAGATTCATTTTGTGAAATAATTTTTGACAACAATTAAACAAGTTTTTCAAAATGTGTTGATCAAAACAGTATATTTTTAAGATCAAAAGTTGTCAACAATGTCAAAAACAGGACGCGGCATAAGAAGCTTTTGTGTAGTTGCTCAACTGTTTAAACGCTGCTTTGAATGAAGTACTCTCACAAAAAAAATTGGCAATATATTGGCAAAAATTCAATTTAGATCAAACAGGCAAACGGTGAGCGAGAAGCATCCAAGTAGAGCATTTTATTGCAATATAGTTTTTGGCATCGATCTTTAGACGCTTCTTTACTTCTACACAATAGAAGGGTGAAAAGAGCAAAAGGTCATAATTAAAAGTGATGTGATTTTTACTAACAAATTCAATGAAAAAACTGTTTTGTTTTTCATCTTGTTTATGCGTATCAATTCTAGAGAGTCGCCTGATAGTAAACTGGAAAACACTCTGCCTCAGGGTAAAAACGGCATATGGAAAAAGCTGTTGCAAATAAGAAAACTAGTTGTTCAAGGACAATTATTGAAGTAAAACTAATTGAAAACTTGTCATTTACTTTTTCATTAAAATACAAATCTTGGTTTATTTAAACATAAAACTTTTTAATTTTAAAACTTAATTTATTTGCACTAAATCTATCCATTGTGCCATTGTCACCAAGTCGCAGAAAATATAATAAAATACCAAAAGAGAGGTATTAAATGTCAGCGCATGGCAATGCGCCTTTCATTGCCTGTGCATTAAATGCCTGAATGGTGTGTGCAGCATGTGATGCGTGTGCACAGTGTGCACTGCACACACCCGACTGCCCCTCACTTGGGCTGCAGTGCCCCCACCAGCCTTTCTGCCTGTAAGATTGTTTGTGAACGGCAACGGCAGCGGCAGCAGCAGCCTGGCTCGTTTCACCACTGCTACGTTCAGTCACTGGCACTGACAACATTGAGCAGTGTGCTCCAGCCAGCCGCTACCGCCGCTCAGTGTGTCTTTTCTCATTTACTCACACTAAAACTCAGACAGAGCCTGAGCTTAAGACACTGTCGTCCACTGAGAAACACATACACACCACAATCTTCTGCTGTGTGTGTTGTGTTGTTTGGTAGTGCAATCCGCCGGCTTGACTCATTCCACTCGGTGGTTGTGTATGTGTGTGCTGTATGACTGTTAGCCAGACGCTGTCACACTGAAGACGCCCAGCCAGTCCACCACCACAACATGAGTTGTCCCAGGCGTATTGTCATCTGAGTTCTGTTCTAACTACTTTCTGTGTTCTTCTGTTTGCATTTAACGCCATTTTGTGCTCTTACGTGTTTGCCAGGAACTGAAGACGACAGTGTTCACTTTTTTATCAGGTTTGTTGACATTCTGATATTTGCAAAGTTTTTACTTGTTCTTTAACAGAAGTTTATATAAAGTGCTAACATTATTAACATTTTTGACTAGATTTACATTCAAAATTATCAAATTTTTACGCCAGTTTTAAGCTCATTTTACCATTCACCAGTTGAATTAAGTGCGTCATACAACTTTTATTACTAATTCTACACATGTAAGTTTAAAAAATTACCAATATAAAGCATTAACATGTGGTTTATTTTAATAAACAGAAGACTGAGCAATCTTTGAAAAACAAATAAATTTTTCCAATCATGGCTGAAAATCCGCCAATTCGTCCTCAACGTGGAATGGTTCGCAATAACCGAGAAACGATTGTAAGCATTTACTAACTGTTATTTGTTGATAATATAATCAATTTCTTTGTTGCATTATTTCTTCTCAGGGTGGACTGTTGATGTCAGTGATCCGGTCACTTTCCACATCACGTGACCTGGCAGACCGAGATCGTGAACGGGCAGAACTGGAGAAAGGCTACGTTCTCTGCGACCAAAAGCTGAACGAACTGGTCGCCCAACACAACACCGACCTTTATCATGTAAAGAGTTAATGCGTAGTGCAATGGAATCATTTTTCAACCTTCATGCTTTTTCAGATGATGAACACATTCTCAAAAATTCTAAACAACCTTGGACGATCTAAAGAAAAGCTGCTGGACACTCGTGAGAAGCTGATGAACTGCGAAAAGCTACTGCACTGCAAACGTGATGAGTTGCGAAAGCTGTGGCTTGAGCTCTACGAGAACAAGGCCGTCTTTGACCTGCTGGAGCGCATTGNAACTGGTCGCCCAACACAACACCGACCTTTATCATGTAAAGAGTTAATGCACTACTTCAATGGAATCATTTTTCAACTTTCATGCTTTTTCAGATGATGAACACATTCTCAAAAATTCTAAACAACCTTGGACGATCTAAAGAAAAGCTGCTGGACACTCGTGAGAAGCTGATGAACTGCGAAAAGCTACTGCACTGCAAACGTGATGAGTTGCGAAAGCTGTGGCTTGAGCTCTACGAGAACAAGGCCGTCTTTGACCTGCTGGAGCGCATTGAGACGGTTTCCAACCTGCCTAAACAGGTCGACTCGTACATCTCAAAGAAGTACTACCTTCACGCGGCGCAGTGTTGTGTGGAGGGACTTCGCCAGCTGGGCGAGGAGGCAGGTGGCGGAAACTCAGCTTCGTCAGCCTCTAACATGCCACCGGGCAAGCCTGGCTCTCGGTTTGGTGATTCAGGCCACGGATCGCTGAGCAAAATTGAGGCCCTCTCCGAGGTGCGCAGTGAACTGCTCACCCGAAAGGAGGCCCTCTTTGAATCGGCCATTGATGAGCTGCACCGCCACCTCTACCTGATATCATCGGCTGATGTTCGTAAGCGCT